ATCTTGGATGTGAAATGTTTTCAAAGAAAAAAAACAAGAAAGTTCAGTTGCCTTCTGGAACAGCACCTTTGGGAAAACCATTCCAATCGTTCCAGCAGCATCCAAGGAAGGGCATACATTTTCAGATTTAGAGGAGGAGGTGAGGATCCAGAGCACTTCCTGTAGAACTATAAAAAAATTGACCATGGCTACTAAGTTGGGGATAAATCAGCATAAATAGTATGTTATGCTATTTGGAAATGATTTAGTAGAACATAACTGTATAGGAGGGACAATTCCATCAGGACAGAAGGACTCAAAATCAGCCACAATGGACTCCTGACAGTGACAGCAAAAGGTCACCTAGCAGTCTTGGAAACCCAACAATAAGAGAAACAGCTGGAGCAGAGAAGCAGGTCCAGACTCCAAGTGAATCAGTGAGATAGAAAGGCTGGTGTATGCTTCTATTGCTATCCTCTTGCAGACAAAAGTAAGGACTAGCAAGTGGCCTTAAGCTTACTTTAGGAAATTGCTTCACAAAGATGAGATTTAAATTGAGAATTTGCCATCACGGATTGATTTTGAGAGTGCCATTGTTGAAAGAAAAGTCTTCATCGTGGTTCATCCAAGCTGGGAATAAACATGGCAACTGTTTTGGGAAGAAGGTTGTAGTTTATTGAAGAGAGGAGCCAGACAGAAAGATGGCTTGGAAGAAAAAAGGAACTAGCACATATAGGGAGTGGATTTTTATACCCTCTGGAGTCTTTTGTTTGGAGTTATTTCCTGTTCTTGATTTGAGACTATTTCCTGTGTCATGTATTCTGACCCGAGTTTGGGTGTGCCCTTTGGCCTTTGTGAGTTAATCCTACCATGTCCTGTCTCAGGTGGGGTATGCAGATTTTAGGTCTTTTGTCTTCCTAATCTCCTAGCTCCAACGTTCCTGATGGTTTACATCTGCATTTGTACACAGCTGGCTTCTGATTGGGGGAGGAAGACCTGGGGCTATCAAGAAAAGCTGGGCATGCTTTTCTGTCTCTTTAAGATCCTTTGAGGAAATATGTTTTCCTGCCCTTTTAATATTTCCTTCTCTGGGGGGCTGACTTCCCACACCATAAAGTTGCTTTTGACTCCTGGTGACCATAGACAGGTTTTCTCTGTGGTGATCTATCCCTAAACTAGTCTTTGAAGTCCCCCAATGGTGCATTCATGGCCACTGTAACTGAGTCCATCCACCTTGCTGCTGGTCATCCTCTTCTTTCCTTAGAGCTTTCCCAGCATTAGAGCTGTCGCTACAAGTTCACAGCCACCATACTTATATTCTCTCATGTAAATGATGGACAGTCACAATTTAAAGAATTCTTAGGTATATAATACCATTATATTGGTCAACAGACCAGATCAGTGCAACTAATAGGTTGAGCGAGCCAAATGTGTCAGGCAGCAAATATAAGGGACTAGGCCGCTGGGATAGGAAACCTTGGCTCTTTTATGACTCGTGGACTTCAACTCCCAGAATTCATGAGCCAGCTGGCTCAGGAATTCTGGGAGTTGAAGTCCACGAATCATAAAAGAGCCAAGGTTGCCTACCCCTAGATTAGGGAATGGCAGGGAAAAGAAACTGATTTATTACTTCCTTTTCTCTCTGGAATACAACGGGAATACTATTAAACAGCAAGAAATGTACTGCCAACAAAAGAGGTATTAATTAAGCCCGTTCTTCAAAATAATAATTTGCCTACCCCCCAAAACATAAAAAGAGATTTAAAAAGCTCATATGCATCTGAAGAAATGAATGGATAATTTATCATCCCTAATCAGAATAAGGGTGGAAATCATTATCCCTATGATGCTACTTATAAAGAGACATATTTTCTGTTTGTGGTTCCAATATCCCTTTGATAATCAGTTTTAAAGAGGCAGTATATTTCTCAAATAGTGTCATTCAGCATTTCCCCCAAGATTTAAATAGGGGAAAAATAGAACTTTTCAGCACTGATGATTAAGGCCATCCAAATGTGAATTCAGTGTTCCTTTAAAAAATTGCAAGCAGTGATATCTTCATTAGATGTAATTTACAAGAACAGGATACAATTTTTGACTCCATAAAAATGTACATAAAATTAATTATATTTGCATGTAATTTTGTATAATTGAGTTAATGAACACGGGGATGGTTATTTAAAATGACTCTCTGTTCTTCTGCTAATTTTTAGGTTTCAGAACATAATATTCTATTTTGTTGTTTTTTTCTTACAGGGTAATTAGTAGCGTTACTGAGTTTAGACCACTCCAAACTGGAATATCAGAAAATAAAAATGTATCTGCCTTCCATGACGATAGACATAAGAAATCTAAAATGCTCCTATTTTAAAGGAAAATTATTTGGAGAAAAACCTAATCTTCCTTTCAGGTACATACATTTAGTCACAGCTTAAATAAAGCACAACTAAGTGAATTGATATTAATATGATAAGGGATCAGAATAAAAGATGAGTCTGATATCATATTAAGCCCAAACCAAGTAAACCATACTTTGGCTGGTGCAATGTGCAAACTGGACCAGTTCTCTGGTAATTTGTTGTTGTTCTTAGTTGTGAAGTCGTTTTCGACCCATCTCTGGCAATACTCGAAATCAAATTCTCTTCAGGCACGTCTGCTCTTCCCTTATGTATCAAATTTACTGGTGTCACAAAAAGTTTCTGAATGACACACTGTCTTTTATCTCTCATTTCTCCTCAAGGCCCCATTATCACTTAGAAATCATTCAGTTAGTGTAAAAAGAGAGAGAGGAGTTTAATAGGGCCATGATGAACTAAAGTAAAAACTGTTTTAAAAAGTAAAATATGATTTAGGCCTGCCACTTGAACTGCTTAAAAGATAATTGTAATCATGAGTTATAATTAATTAATCTACATATGAATAAAGCAATTATTCTGGGGGAAAAGACATTTTGTCTTTGCTGATGACGTGCAGGTGCTTTCTGAAGGAGCCACAAGATTTGGGATTAGAACTGTAGTTGGTGGCTTAACATCTTCAGCCTTATTCTGATCTGCTTGGAAATAATCACCAGATTCTATCCAGGAACAAAACCCACAACAACCTTCAGCCTGGACTATATTATAGGAATATTTTATTTTTCTATTTGGACTATTTCTTTTTTTTCCCCTAGAGTACATCGGAATTGGTAACTGGAAAAATTCACAAACTGACCAAGAGCCCTTTGGCTCCCTCATGAAACAGTTGAGCAGACAATTCTGGCAGACAGAAGAGTAGAACAACTTTTCTTCCTGCATGAAGATAAGTTTTCCCAGGTATCTTCTGCACCACCATGGGACAAAGCTGGGGCAAATCTTCGTAGTCCCAGGCCCATCGATCTACAGAATATGTGTCCTCTTCCTCCGATAATCACTACCTTGATGAGTCCCCTGATTGCCGTGTCCAAAGTTAATTGTCAGTAATGCCACAAATTGTGGCAAGTTCTTAAAGAGATGGGAGTACCAGACCATCTTATTTGTCTCTTGAGAAACCTATATGCGGGTCAAGAAGCAACAGTGAGAACTGGACACAGAACCAATGATTGGTTCAAAATTGGGAAAGGCGTCCGGCAAGGCTGTATACTGTTGCCCTGCCTATTTAACTTATATACAGAGCACATCATGAGAAAGGCAGGGCTAGATGAATCAAAAGTTAGAATTAAGATTGCCTGGAGAAATATCAACAACCTAAGATATGCAGATGATACCACTCTAATGGCAGAAAGTGAAGAGGAACTAAAGAGACTCTTAATGCAGGTGAAGAAGGAGGGTGCAAAAGTTGGCTTGAAACTCAACATTAAGAAAACCAAAATCGTAGTATCCGGCCCTCTCAATTCCTGGCAAATAGATGGGGAAGAAATGGAGGTAGTGACAGATTTTATTTTCCTGGGCTCCAAGATCACTTCAGATGGGGACTGCAGCCAACAAATTAAAAGACGCTTGCTCCTGGGGAGGAAAGCTATGGCAAATCTAGACAGCATACTAAAAAGCAGAGACATCACCCTGCCAACAAAAGTGCGTATAGTCCAGGCCATGGTTTTCCCAGTTGCAATGTATGGTTGTGAAAGTTGTACCATAAAAAAGGCTGAGCGACAAAGAATTGAGGCTTTTGAACTATGGTGCTGGAGAAGACTCCTGCGAGTCCCTTGGACTGCAAGGTGTTCAAACCGGTCAGTCCTGGAGGAGATCAACCCTGACTGCTCTTTAGAAGGCCAGATCCCGAAGTTGAAACTCAAATACTTTGGCCACCTAATGAGGACTCACTGGAGAAGGGCCTAATGATGGGAAAGATTGAGGGCAATAGAAGAAGGGGACGACAGAGAATGAGGTGGCTGGATGGAGTTACTGAAGCAGTAGGTGTGAACTTAAATGGACTTCAGAAGATGGTAGAAGACAGGAAGACCTGGAGGAACGTTGTCCATGGGGTCACAATGGGCCGGCCACAACTTCGCAATTAACAACAACGCCACATCGGCGCCCCACAATTGATCCCCCAAAAGCCTCCTTTCGTGGCTCTTATATCCGGACAAAGAAAGTTGCCTAACTCTAAAATATGCCGCAATATCATCTGGCATGGCCGGGCCAAATGCTACACTGCTTTTAAGAATGAGCGACGTCCAGATTCCTAAAGAAAAGTAATTAAGAGTGGCAACTACCATCCTGTAGTAGCCGACGTGCTCCCCCCCCCCAACCCCCCGTTCTTCAGTATTTTTGGGAATACTTAATTCCAAAGCAGGAATGCTGCCTCTCTTTTGCCCACGTGAACTTCACGCTCAGAGCAGAGAAGCCTACTTATTTTCGGATTTTCTCCGTCTCCTTCAGTTTAGCAGCCTTTCCGCTGCCTTTCAGCTCGTTAGCGCAGCTAAGCCGAGTCAGAAGCCTGGCGCGGCGGCTACCACGTGGCGGGAGCGAGCACCCGGCTTAGCAGAACAATTGTCGCGCAACGCCGGGCCCGGGAAGGCATCGGCGTCCTCGCTGTTTGACGGGAGACGCGCGCCTCGGTCTGTCAGAGTTAGGCTGAGGTGGGATCTCTCAGCGGCGGGAGGCAAATCTGGGCGCGAACTCGCGTCGGACGCTGGGGCGACTCGCGAAGGTCCGCCGGTCGTCCAATCTGGACCTCAGGGCGCTGCTCATTGGTTAAGTGAACCGGCCGCGCCTTCCCAATCCGCAGCACGACTCTCTCCCCTCCGCCCCGCGTCCTAATCAGCTTACTTTCCTCTTGGAGTCGGCCCACTTGTGGCGCCGGGCGAGGCCGGCCACCTGCCTGCCTGCCTGCGAGCAGAAGCGGGAAAAGTCGGCAAGAATTCAAGAGGGCCGCGCCAGCAATTCTCCCTCTTTCCTTTGGCACGCGGAAGGCGGTCACGGGCTGCGGTCTCGAGGGCGCTGTGAACGCGTGGACTGAGGAGCCCCGCGGAACTCGTCGGGGTTGAGTTTGGAGTGGACCGCGCCGGCTGAGGCTCGGCGCCTCCGTGGACTGGGCGAAGGCTGACCATTTTAACTTGAGACAAGTTTGGGAAGCGGGCTGGCTTGCTGGAGCGAAACTCTCCTTTCCCCTACCCGCCAGCGGCGGCTGGAGAAGAGCGACTTGGTTGGTCGGGGCACAGCGGCGCGGTCGCTCGGTCGTTTCGGCAATGGAGTGGGGCAGCCTGGGTACTGACTCCCGCCAGTCCAGCTGCCGGGAAAGGTGACTCTTTGGCCAACCAAGTTCGAGCGGAGCGCGGCTCTTGCACCGGGCGAGGCGGGCGGCCGCTTTGCTCCCACCACAGAAAAGGAGAGGAGAGGCTTGACCAGAGAAGGCCATGGGGGCCAACAGCACGGAAGACTTCTCTTCCAACACCACCTGTCCTCCTCCTGAACGGGACCCGGTCCGCAACTACGCCGCCTTGGCCTTGGGAGTCGTCCTCATCCTCTCTATCATCAGCGGGAACTTGCTGGTGTGCCTCAGCGTCTGCACGGAGAAAGCGCTGAAGACCACCACCAATTACTTCATCGTCAGCCTCGCCGTGGCCGACCTCCTTTTAGCCATCTTGGTGTTGCCTCTTTATGTCTATTCCGAGGTAAAAGCCCCAGGGCACTCTTAACTTCTTCCAACTCTACTGGTGATTATGGTGCCGTCGTTATTTTCTTGAGAGGGGAAAGCTTCCTCTCCGCTTCGAGATATATATTTTGTGTCTGTTTATTTGGGGTTTTAAGGTGCCCGTTTTGACCCGGGTGGATGCAATTGTAGGTAAGCATGGGAGGAAAAAAACCCAAACGAAACCCTAAACATTCCATTGTGTAATGTTGTTATAACGTGGCAATCCCCACCTATTCACCTGGTTGTAGATTCCATTGAATTTACTGGGACTTGGGGTAGATGCATGCTTAGGGTAGGGAAGCCCTATCATTCATTGCAACCCAGAATTGGAAAAGGGCTACCTTCTTTGAAAGAGTGGTGGGTATAATATCTACATTCACACAATGCAAATATCATTTGGTTACCTTTACTGGGTACTACTGCTTGTTGGTTACTGTGGTTGACAGACTGAGTCACCCTGAGCTATACAGTCTTTGTAATATGTAGGTTGCTGCACTCTCGGAACACCTGTAACTTTACGGGAAAATGATGGGACATCAGTACTGCAGTCAATCCAGCCTTAGTGGAAACCACAGTATATTCTTATAAGGCTGGTTAGACAGATAGGCAGGGAACCAGCCCAGAGTGATGGTATTTCTAGATAAAGCTTTTCCCTTGCAAGTACCTTGCCTCATTCATGATATTTTACAGGGGTCTTCATCACATCATATTTCTTTTAGAACCCTTTCAGGTTTTCTCACTACTGCTCCCCTCCTTTATCTGTTCCTACTAAAACATTGTTAAAAAGACAGAGATGGAATAACTGAACAAATTATCTCATTGGTATTTATTTTTATTAAATTTATAAGCCATCCAATTCACACACAGGTGAGTTGCCCATAAAATTGCCTCGAAAGAGTCTGTATAGCTTATATACAAGGACCTTTGTATCCTAGAAGCTGATCTATTGTCCAAAATGTATGTCTGCCAATATGCAGTCCAAATGAAATAACAGCTCTTTTTCTAGACTAGTCCAGTTCTGCAGAAGAAATGCTGCAATTCTATTGGGTCCTCAATTTGTTTTTGGGTTTTTTTTATAATTTCTGGTTTATGACTTCTTCACTATAGAATATTTTTTTCTTAAAGATATTAAGTACATTTGTTTCCTAAACTAGAACTACAATTTGAAAGCACATGATATATTAGGACCTTTTTGTTGAAGTTAGACAGGTTTGGGTTGTGCCAGAAGCTCCTGACAATCAAGGATATGAGTTTGTTCCCCAGGAGAAGAAGGGTTGGGTACTTCTGGCATTGTGGTCTCTTGTGGTCTCCCAATGGACGAGATGATGGAAGACGAGTCAGCCAACATAACTGTATTCATTGCTCAACTCTAGCAAAGATTATGTGAATGGAGTTACTTTCTTCTGGAGAATTAGAGTGATGGTTTGAAAAGTGTCAGTTCGAAGTTGGAGAAATCCTTTTCAAAATTTCACTTGCTAAAGAAGCTGTGGAGATAACTTTTGGTCATCTCGACTTCATCCTGTTATGTCCTGAAAATAATGTTAAGGGGTGCATGTGAAAGTGCACTGCTCTGATCTCTTTCGATAAATACAATAAATACAGTTAGAACAATAATAATTAAAATGCCTATAGAAATAGTAGTCTCCAGGATTATATGCACAGGAATTTAACCTATTTAGGAGGAGGAGTCTTTTTTAGACAATGTTATCTTTTTAGTCATGAGAAATGGAGGCTTAAAGGTTTCCCTTTAGTATTTTTAAGTGACCTTTCTATTTGGGCCAGGTACAGTATTGCTTAAGTGCTAGCTAATCTTAAATAGCTAAATTGCAGTAATCTTTCCAGAGCCTGTTGCACAAGCTTCCATTAAGTACTTTGAAGAAATGGGTCACGTAATAGAAAAACTAGACTAATGGATCTCTAACCAAGATTAAAATGCTGTTTAATAGAAGCATAACTTGGTCCAAAACATGCTTACTCAAAAATAAATCTCACTCTAGGAAAGATATGCTAAAGAATGTGGTCTAAAACTTCCTTATGATGGAACATAGGTCTAATGGGAAACACCTGGTTAATTTGAAATTCAGAAAAATGACAGGATTCTTAATAATTATCATTAAGTCAGCTGGTTGATACATGAGAGGTTTACATTAGCTGGAGACCAAATATTTTTTTTAAAAAATCTGCAGTAACAGGGGACTCTGTGATGTGTGGCAAACAAAACAATATTACTTCCAGCTATGGAAGACATCTGATTCCAAAGCTGAGCATTTGTAGGCTGTATAAGGGAGTTTCAGAGATAAAAGTTGTGGGTAACTAGAATTAGTGACTGGGGGAAATATGGGTACCTTTCCTTTTTGATGTTCATTTTTGGAGTAATGATAAATTTGTCACACCTCCAAGTATGTGAACATAGAAGATCTCTGTTTTCAGCTTCACTAAAAATATTGTTCAAAATAGATGTGCCAATCCTTCTTAGATCTGATTCAAAGTCAGTTGAAGTTAATGGAAATCATGTGAGGGGAGCTAAATGTAGAGTAGATTGAATGTCAAGAATATGTATTAGAATGTGAATTAGAAACAGTGATGCGACATTCACCGCACCCTATTATTATCCATTATCTTAACAGGCTGTTATTAGATGAAAAAAGCACTCATGTTTCCAAGGGTACATCTCATTTAAAGAAGAAAAGGAGCTTGATAAGCTAAAACATTATTCTATGCATGTGTTAACGAACACGGGTATTCTATAATGATTTGGAGAGCACAATCTCAGATTCCATTTAAGTAAATCAAAAGATGCAGCGGCCCTTTGAGTCCCTGTACTTGTGTTTCAATGAATTTGATTCTGAAAAAAAAATTGGCTTTCTGCAGTTTCAAAAGCTAATGAAAAATTGATACAAGAAACTTTGTTTACTGGGATTAGAATATACCACCTAGCTTTATTATAGCAGTGGATCTCTGAAACAGTGAAGACATTGCCCTATTTTTAAATGATATTCGCAAGATGACGAACACTGCAATTGCTAAGATAGAATAAAACCAAAGCAAATGCTGCATTGTAATTTTTATCCAAAACCAAATACAATACTATACATTTAGAAACCAGCATGAGGGCCAGAAATATTTGCTAAAGGTTTAGGAGATTAGTGTGTCGTGGAAGTAAAGAATCAACAGCAAATTGGAGACTATAAAAGCAGAAGTGTGAACCATCTTGATAGTTGCTAGATTATGCTAGTTTAAGTCTATGAGGGGAAATCTGAACCATCTATGTATGGTTCATTCAACAGCATGCAACCCATCAACCATTTCATATGAGGTATTTGATAATCTTTCAGGTTTTGCAGCCTTTGCAAACAGCTTCATTGAAATGCCTATGCTCAGTTCAGCCAATAACATTTATATACCTCTGTTCTCAAAAATGCATCAGTACTTAAGTGGCCAAAAGCAAGGGATGATTAAGGAAGAGAAGTGTTTTGGGTTTTCCTCCTAACCTTTAGAGAATTTTCTAGTCTGTTGGAAACCTCAGTGCTCAGGTGACAGGACTTCATGTCCCAATGAGAAGAGCAACATCAGGTAACATGAAGGACTGATGACTTCATTTAATGGGGAAGGCAATGAATATATTTACAAGAATATCTATGAGATAATTTATATAATCCAACACTCTTAGAAAAATACTTTTAATTCTATACCAGTGGACAAATTGAGAGGTTGTTTTGATACAGTCTTTTCTTTATTAAGGAAAGAAAGAAATTATGTTTGTAGTGACTTCTCTAACTGATGGATGCTGGTTGTACCTCCTCTGCCATGTGGATATTTCTGGAGAGGGTGGAATACAGGATGCATCTTCTCAGTGGCTTGTGGTTTTCTGGCTGATGGCAGGTATACTTCCCTTGTGTCTGCAATTTGACAGGGAAAGTAACATAATTTATACCCATTTTTCCTGCCGCTGGTGGATGTATCCAGAGTAGTTTCTTCCCTGCCCTTTTTCTGGGATGCCGTTTACCTTCTTTAGAAAATTTACTTTTCTAACCTTTATGTGTGCGAATGTTCTTTTTTTTTTTAAGCATAATTATACAGTATGAGTAAGGTGTGCCTTTTTTCCCCTGCTGCAATGTTGTATAATATCATGGATTCAAGAAGAAAATTGTTTTTTGAAGCTTGTAGAGACTGTATCCACAGAGTGCACTTCTCATTTTATATGGCTTTGTTTTTAAATATAGATTTTGAATGTGGCTCTCTCATTTGCAGGGCTGGGTTATTATCTATTGTCTTTGAATAAAACATTGGGTGGTTTAAAAGAGGTATGCTTATATTTTTATTCATGTGGAATTGTAGCTTTCACAGGCATCAGTGAATATTATAAGCAACAACGCAGCCTTATTTGGAAATAAATGGATAAGTAGACTGACTTGGGAGTAAGAGTGTCCATGGAATTTTGCTCCCAGATCAGTGAGCAATATGATATATGATTGCAGGTTTGATGGTCAAAATAATACATCAACTAAAATTACACTCTTATGCTCTATTGTGTAGCACTCATTTCAGCAAGAGCAATACGATGTTTAATTATCTTAGATGGATTTTCCCCCTGATCAGATTATCTGAGCTAGCAGATCCAGAATGTTAGCTTTTCATCACATTGCTGCATTGGGTTCATTGAGCATCTTCCCCACCAAATAAATCCTACTTGATACAATAATTATTTTTTATTGGCTTGGTTTGAGTTTCTAAGAGTAAACTTAGACCTAGTATATGTAAATGTTCCCGGTTTGGAATAGATGGTGTTTGTGAGAAAGAGAGAATAGAATCAGAACATTTCATCAGAGATATTCATTGATTGCCCCAGTTAATGTTGGTGTATATGTGACACTGTAAGGCCCACAGAGAGAAGGCATTTGTGCATTGTGCAAATCTCACTGCCTTTAATGCAGTTACCATGGTTAAGAATATTGGCATTCAGCATATTCCAATTTCAGA